TTTTTTTTATGCACCATTGATTGACAGGAAAAAAAAAATCCGTTTTTCTTTGCTTTCCAAGTCTCTCTGTGCAATGACCGATTCTTTGATATTGTCACTTTTTAAAAGTAAACCAAACAAGCCCTCAAATTTCAGCTTGAAGGGGGCTCATGTCCGTTCTTGGTTTTGCACCTTCCAAGGCTGACAGAAATGGTGGTGTCATAGATTCATGCGCAAGTGCTCCGGCCGTTTGGAGATCATGGGAAAAGCCTGTTTTTTGTAGGGCCCAGAGTTTGGTTGCCTTATTGGAAGTGGTGCTGAAGCCTCTCCACAGACTGTCACATCCATTTGTTCTATTCCACTGGTCTCCATCGGGTATTCCACAGGTGTCTGGGTGTTGGATGCGCCGGCAGAAGCACCTCTTCCCCAGAATTCCCCAGGGGAAAACTTGACAGGGCTTTAAAACAAGAAATACAAAAATCAGAGATGGACACATACACAGCACCAAGGTGCTTACTCTGCAGGAAACTGCACTCAAATGCCTATGGAGAAACAATTCTAATTCTTCCTTCCACTGCCAGGAGTTTGAGAAATTTCTATGTCTGGCTTCTACCACAGTCTCTCTTAAAATTCTCTGATTTCGAGGTGATTGCAGAAGGGTTTTTCCTGTACTAACACGATTCTTTAGTGCTTAGGTTAGGATGTTCTGAAACAGCTGTATCAAAGTCACCACTGAAAACAACAAATTAGAACTTCATGTGCTACCCAACACCACAGATTTATTTTTAATAACGTCAGAACTTAGAATCACTTCTAATGGAAGTGCTGGGCTTACTCAGAAGCAAGGCTGCTTTTTATTTCTAGTGCTTCAACTACTTGTTAAAACGTGTATTACAAAAAAAAAAAAGAAAAAGAAGATAAAGTACCTGACTGGTGTCCTAGGGCTACCTATCAATCTGCGAGGTGATCGAATTTTTGGTTCAAAAGAAAATTTCTCTTTTACGCTTTCAAGTACAGATGGAGCCACGTACGTAAAACCCTGCAAAACAGGAAAAAGGCACTGCAGCTCACAGGCAAGCCTGCATTCAGGATCACTTGTGCAGTTATGAACATCTGATTATTATGGGAAAAAGAAGATTCAGTGTAGACAGGTGAACCCTTATTCATTCCTTGAAGCAAACAGTGGGACTTGAGGGAGTTGCCACACCCCAGCTATTTCTCCTCACATCACAGATTGCCACAGGCACACTCCATTTAATTCATTTTGCTCTATACACTGGCCACTGCTGTCCCTGCATGGCTGTGAAAGCAATGCCATGTGCAGGTTCACAGTGCAGCTGTGAATCCCAATGCTGACATTCCACAAGGGCAGCACTGTTTGCTGGCTGCTGTATAAAGAAAACGTCAGCAATAACCAAAGTATTTTCAAAGCCTTTAAACATTTCAAACCCGTTACAGGTTGAGTTATGACAGTTTGCTTCAAGGTGTTAGGAGTCAATAGAACGAATTTAGCTGAAACCCCCCATTTCCAGCAGCAAACCTCCCTCTCTCCACAGCCCCTCCTCACTCACCAGAAAGACCTGGTTGGCACTTTCACTGAGAGTTGAGTCATCTGGGCTATCAACAGGTGTCTGACGTGTAAACTTTGAATCAAACTGGCTCACATCCTCTTCAGATTGCTTTGCAAAAACAAAATGATTAAGGGTTTATATTACAGATATCAACCAAATGGCTCAGCGGTGAGCAGTGCAGCCTCTGGATGGAGTTCATTCCATGGGTTTTTGGCAGAGCTCTGCTGGAGGAAAACCCTGGAGTGGTGTCGGAATCCTGTCGCTGCCACTGGGAGGTCACTATGGGCACTGACACTGAGAAATAAAGGCAAGGGGGAGGGGCAAAAATTATGGATCAAAAAGGAACATCAATTAAAAAGATGCCTTAAAAAAAAAGTAATTCGCAAATTACAAACAAAATCTTTTAGAAATACAATGCCAGTTAGTTGCAAGTTTAGCCCTTGCTACAACCAGTATAGAACAGTTGCAACTATTTAGTTTTTGGAGGCCTCTCCAGATAAACCCCAAACCACTTTCAGATAAATATTTGGAAATATCAATCTTGAGTCTTTCTGAATTTCATTCCAAAGGGTGAGGGGAAAAAGGTCTGGAGTCCCCATGCTGCAGAATGCTTGACATTAGTGATGCTTAAGCCAGTTTTAAGTGGGAATTTTAATAGCTGGGAATTACAGAGGTGGCAGTACCCACACAGCTGCTGCAGCTGATTTTTTCCCTCTGGGAACACAGACACCATCCAAATACAAGATGGGATAATAAAAACTTGTTCATCACATCACTGGTTTGAGGTAAGCTCTTAACTACTGCTTATAATGCACAAGATGCATTGTAAAGATTAACAAGCAAACACAGAAAATGCTTAATTAGGTGATTCCATTTACTTTTGCTTGGCAACTCTATCTAGCTGACACTGAGTACTGACTTACTGCAGAGGGTTTAGGAGCTGATCTCAGAGTGAACTGCACTTGCAGGTCTGTTTAACCTACGGGTCAGAAGCAGGAGGAATTCAGACTGAAGCAGATCAGATCTGCCAGCTTTGAGAGTCAATCTGTCCCCTGAGCTGCTAGAACTCAAGTACCAGGAATCAGTGGCACTCCAGTTTATAAACTGAACGTTTCTAAGTGTTGTTAAGAGCTTTGCTGAAGGCACAGAGGGACTATCTCTCTCCCAGTATTCCCAGTACATACCAATAAGGGTTTAAAAGGAGGTTCCACCTTGCGTGCCAGCAGTTCGTCCCAGTTGATGTGTCTGAAGAACGCGTGAGCCTGCAGGAGGGACAAGAGCACAGTCAGCACCTCCTCCAGGCCACTGAGCCCAGAGCTTCACCATTAACATGCTCTATCCAGACACTTCCTCTGGGCTGTTTCTTTCCAAAAATCACATTTAGTGATTTAGTGTAGAATATTCTGCAGCACTACCTCGGAGTCGCTGGAAGAGCTGAGAATTGAGATCACACCTCCGAGTCAGACATGTCCCCATTTCCTTGGAAGTGTTAGAAAAAGCCAGTTCACATGCAAAACACCTCTGCATTCTCCAACTTTAGAAGTTAAACCATGACAAAACACTGCATTATTGACATATTATCAGAAATGATGGAGGACTCTCTAATATTTGCCAATATCACCACAAAAATAAAGTCAAGCTGGAATGCCACACTTTGCCCTTCAAGGAGCTGCACTATTACAAAGTTGACAAGTTTTTCATCAGACTGCTGAGAGCATCCTCACCCTTCCAGGAATGCACAATGCTAATTTTGCAGCTACTAGAAAAGATCTACTGCAAGACAGAGCTAAAGAACAGAAGTTATTTTCCAAATCTCCAAGTATCAAATAGGTAGACAGCTGCTTTTGTTAAGCTTTAAAGATTTCAGGTTTTGATGAGCTGTCACATGTGGCTGCCTTTCTGCTCATTACCCTTCAAGACAGACACTCTCCTTCCCTGAGGTACCTTCAAAGCTGTTTTATTTTCAATGAGGTAATTTAAGAAGTCTCAAGTTAAGTTCAAGTTACCTGAACTTCTCCAGCATCTCCAGGACCAGCTCCTAGACGTGAGGCAGCATTTCTTTTTAGCAGCTTAATGAGAAATAACATCCAAAAATGCAGAATTAGTTATGCTGTTATAACCAGACTAGTTCTGCCACGAATCATCCCTTTAATGATGCACAATAAATACAGAACAATCAGAAAAATCTGCATTTAGTTGAAAACAGTTGTATTTTCAAGGGAAATCACTTTCTGTACCACTCAGCAAAAAAGTGACTTAATCAGTAATGAACCAAACTTGAACTGAACAGCCACAGTGGTAACATTCTACTTTCTACATACATGTGGAGTACTGACAGTCATTAAAACTGTACCTTTTTAAGCAGATCTCTGGCTTCTTGTGTGAGGTAGGGAGGCAAGTTGAGTTTACACTTGAGAATCTTGTCAATTGTTTTCTTTCTGTTCTCCCCAGTGAAAGGAGGCTGGAAAGCACCATTGAAAAAGGAAGAAAAACAGGACTTGTTCAGATCTTTAATTTGTGTACACAGAACTCACTTCAGTCATTTATAAAGCAGGTAAAATTACTGCAAATAGGCAGTATTTGGATAAAAGCAACTCATGTCTATAGTGAAACTTAAGAGCTGTATTTTGGTTCTTTCTTATTTGCAGTGTATATATATATACAATATATTTATTTATGCATGCAGCTGAGTTAGGGTACAGGGAAGCAGAAAAAGAAAAGCTACAAAAGGAAATACATGCAATTATAACTGTGCACCTACTGCTCCAGTCAGCATGTCATACATTAATGCCCCCAAACTCCACCAGTCCACAGCACGGTTATGCCCACTCCTCATCAAGATTTCAGGGGCCCTATAAGCAGAAAAATCAAAAATATCAAAGTGTTTTAATGAGCTTAGTACGAATTGTGGCTGCTAGTTTTCAAACAAAACCCCATTTATGAAGTAAAGTTGTCCTAAGTGACTGAACACATGAACCACCAGTTAAAAAAGGCAAAACACAGCCATTACCCCCAGAGCAGAGCAATATTTTAGTATTTCATCATGCAGCTCACATGTATTCAATTGTTCCACAGAATGTGTGTGTGACTGTTCCATCGTGGATGGATTCTTTACATAACCCGAAGTCAGTCAGTTTTACATGACCTGAAATTAAACAGATCAAATTTAAGACTTGTCAGAATTCTACCGTTTGTAGAAGTAACACTGAGAAAAATTAGGAGTTTTTAACATGAATATGTAATTACTCTGAATTACTTCCACATATGGTCTGACAAAGCAATGCAGCCATAAAATAGAACAAGGTAATCACACTTACAGAGAAAACCAAGTGCTGCCACTTGACAAACTACCAAAATTTATTCAAATACAGACAAATGTATTTAAACATAAAGACTGTAAAGCATCATTTAGCTAAAAAAGTAGGTTACTGAATTTTACTGCCTGCTTCAAAATTCACAGAATGATCTTCAACAAACTGCAAAGTGCTCTGAATAATTCAGTACAAAGACTCAGACTAAGTAAATAAGTTGTTTAAGAAAACATGAAAATTCTGGGTGGTACAGATTGCCAGACTGATCAGTGTCACACAGTCACTGGAACAGTGCAATCAGGAACTGAAACTGCTGTCAGTGGGAAGTGTCAGCTTCTGGCTAAGTCACTTCAGCCACAGATGATTGGCATCCTACCCAAACTGCCTTTCCTACCATCAGTCATCCCCACTGAATAAAATGTCACAGTTCTACTTCACAATGATCCAGCAGAAGAAAAAAAAAAATCCAGAGGTGCAGAGATGGCAAATCAACCACTCAAAGCATGCCTGGGTCCAAGGAACTTGAGCTTGCTGTGGTTAAACCAAGGAAGCTTTTGAGGGCAATGAGCTCTGGCAGCTCTTCACTTATCCCAGGAGTGGTGACAACCCTGCCACTCACTGTTCTAAGGAGATTCACCTAAAACTGAGGTGTTGTGACCTTTGGGAGAATTGTTTTCAAAGGACTGGCAGCCTGACTCATGACTAGAGTTGTACCTTGATGATTAAGCATGATATTTTCTGGCTTCAGATCCCGGTAGATGATTCCTTTTTGATGCAAGTGCCCCAGTGCCATTGAGATTTCTGCCAAGTAAAAGCTGAAAGGGAACAAAATCAGACATTGAATCATGCAGAGCATCTTAAGCAAGTTTTTCACAGTTTTCAACCCCCAAACCTTGACCACAGCTCTGTGGACAGAGCCTCACTGAGCAGCCACCAGTGGATCCTCCTCTGCTGTAAGACTGGAGTTCCACCAGCACAAACTGGTGAGGACAGCCCAAAACTGGTGAGTACAGCCCATGTACACCCTCCCAAACCCAATGAGCTCTTCTTTCACTACACTCTAAAATGAATGAGTAGTTAAATATAGTTTAAGCACTTGGAAAAGAACCCAAACTATTAATTTACAAAAATAGCTTCACTTACCAAGCTGTGTCTTCCATAAATATCCCTTCTCTCTCTAACTGCATAAATAGTTCTCCTCCTGTCATGAGAAAAAATAGACTGTACTCAATTAAAAGTATCATTTTAAGTCAGTCAAAAGTCTATTTTCTAGGAAAACTATAAGCAACGGGTATTTTTGCCTGCTGTACAACGGGCTGTTTCACAGAAAAGCAACTGAGCCACTATTCTGTTACCCTCAGGATTCCAGCAACCTGAAGAAATAAGCATTTAAAAAACAAGAGCATTTCTGTCCCTGTTTTTTGTTGTTACACCTTGAAAAAATTGCTTCTAATCTGTGTCTGTTTCCCTAACCATGAATAAAGGTAACACTTTATTCTGTCACAAAGAACCTGCAGGGACTAAACCCTCAGGTAACTCTGCAGGATTGCACAGAACACACAAAAATGATAAATCTAGTGGAAGGAAAAGTCTTAAAACCCTTTCTCTCCTGCACTGTCATGAAAAGCAACTATTTTATGTTTCATTCCTCTTTATTGCATGGAATTAGAAAGTTTATTCATGTTCTTCTAGGTATTTTTAATACAAACCTATTTCAGTTTAAGACACCAAACCATCATTAATTAGGCTTTTAATTGTAGGATAAGAAGCCCAAATTCTTGATTGGGTAAGACCCCTAGAAGGAAGTAAAAATGTCATATACTGACCACTGAGATACTCAAGGATGAGGTAGAGTTTTCCACCAGTCTGAAAGGCATAAATTAAGTCTACAATGAAGGGATGTTTCACTTCCTCCAGGATATTCCTCTCTGCTTTCGTGTGAGCTGTATCCTTGGCATTCCTGACAATCATTGCCTGCAAAAATCAGGGGTGTGTGAGCACAGAACACGCTAAACAAGGCAGACTTTTACACCGAGTTCAATTCTGAGTTTATTAGACTACAACACTACATGTTAAGTTAGCAACAGCATCAAATTTACATTTCACCACAACATCTACGAAAGAGGTTTCTTGGAGAAGTTGAAATCTTTATTTCATAAAATCACACAATAATTTAGGTTGGAAAGGACCTCCTGAGCTATTTAAATGAGCTGCTGAGAACTACCCAGACTGAAAAATCTGAAGTTTAATTCTAATTCCAACTGTAACTGAGTAAAAAGTATATATAGCCTAGAACTTATTTTAAGGTATATTAAATCATTAGATAATTCTGGAAGGTATGCAGAGGGATAGATATTTTTTTTCTTTAGATTCAGAGAGTAGTGAAGTCAGGTTTACCTTTTTAAGAACTTTCATGGCAAATATTTTCCCGGTGTTTGCTCCGGTTACTTTTCGTACTTGAAACACCTAAACAACACCAACACAATGGCAGTCACACATTTCAGCTGCATTAACTGCCACAAACGAGACAGCAAAGTTGTGCAAGAGAGAGAGAGAGAGAGGAGATCACCCACAAACTACAAGGCAAGAGGCAGAGATCGGATGCAGAACGAGTTTGGGACGTTCCCTGCTGCTCCCAGCGGGCGAGGCCCTGCCAGGGACCTCGGTGCCAACCTTGGCAGCTGGGGTTGGATGTGCTCCATTGTACCTCAGGCAGAATGGACTTTTCAGAGAGGGGGAAATGAGAGCAAAGCAAGGGAGCAGTGAGGGTGTGAGGGCTCAGGGCTGCAGGGTTGCTGACCTTGCCGTAGCCGCCTTTGCCCAGCACGCGCAGTAACTCGAAGCACTCGGGGCGGATCTTCTCGGGGCCTCTGTTCACACTGGTCTCTGAAATCTCAAATTTTTCACAATGTTCCATCCCACTGCAGAAAAGCAGAACAAGGCTGTGAGTCTACCTGGGACTGAGAAATGAGCAAATGAAAGCATTGCCTCCCTGGAAAGTGTCTGTCTGAGCTAACAGTGACAGCCTGGGAGATCCACAGAGCTCCCAGCACCATTGGGAATTGCTGAATTATTAATTCAATAATTGAATTATTGTTTATTGTGGGCAAAGCTGCAACTTGCACTGAGAAGGTTACCTGCAGATTCTGGGGATTTACAGTATCAAGATTTCCTTCAAACCCATTCAATTTAATGCACAATACATCTCTGCATTACACCAGAATTAAGTTCAGAGGATGAAAACCCCAAACTGACTCAGATATTTCCTGATATGATTATATCCATATTACAAATATTATTCAAAGGCAAGAGATTTGTTAGGAGAAACAAGGATCAAAAGACAAACAGCAGCTTTCACCAGAATTCTTTTTATTATTATTATTTTATTTCAAGATACAATTGACAAATTTTAATGTGAGGAAATAGTGAAACATCTAAAAATGACTCAAAATGGAACCAGAATGACAAAATTTTCTATTTATCTTAACAAAGTAACAAAACTAGAAGTTATATGTGGTTGGTGTGAATGATACAGAATATTTTCTAGCAGCAACTTACAGATCATATTGGCCAACTCCTCCATGGTCCATGCTCTCACTTAATTGACCCTGGGAATGAGAAGGGTACAAGAAAGATGAATTAGAAAAATGAGAGCATTAAAAAGAAATGCACTGATGTGGTTTACAACTTTTTAAGTTTGAAGAGACTAAATCTCTATATAATTAAATAAGAATAAAAAAATGGATCAGAAGATGAAGATTTGCTGTACTGCCCTGAGTCTCAAGCAGTGACACAGGGAACCACTGTCTTACCTGGCTGCATTGTTATTCTATCACTTAAATACCAGAGGTACAATTTCACACCCCCAAGAGGACTTGAAAAATGTTCATGTACTGCAATTTTCTTTAAAATTCCTCTTCCACAGAAATTTGAGTCTTATTGGAGTACCATGCTAATCAGACCAATATTAAAGATTATGTGAACAGATGACCTGAGACTCATCTGCACTAGAAAATACAATCTACTGAGGTTTTATTATTTTATATTGGTAAGTCAAAACCCAATTGTGATGAAAGAATTCAGCTTTACTCTGATGTTAAACACATTTTCTGACCAGTAATCAGTACTGAAGAAGTTCACTTCTGATGCACTTCAGCATCAGAAACAATCATCATTAAGGAATGTGATTTAATTCTGAAGAGATATTTTCCTCAAAGAATTTTTAACCTGATCCCTTCCCTCTGACTGTAGCTCTACATGGCAAAAGAAATGCAAAGGCAGCAGACAGCTGGAATGAATACAAATAGAATGTCATGGGCAAGCTTCTAGTGAGCTTCAGACTGTACTGTCACATTCTTATTTTTAAAAATACGGACACAAAATAACAACTGTGAGTTCCTGGTAAACAGCCTGGAACCTACAGACTGAATATAAATATATTGAGTGACCTGTGCAATTCAGAGAAGCAGAAGAAAAAAGATCCACTGAGATCTGCAAAAGCCAGCCCAGGCCAAGAAGTGCATTTTAAAATATTACCCAAGTGAAAACACTAAGCAAAGAAAACTCAAAGCTTTCAACAGTTTCCAGACCATTTCAACGTTAAAGTTTACAAAGGCTGGTTTATTTTGGGTGATCTAAAGGGGAAGTTAACTTTTGGATCCACCTACTAACACCACAGGCAATTAAGGAGTCCAAAAGATCAGGTTTGTTTCCAGCTCAGAGAGCTGCCAGCCCATGTCCTCCTGGTGACATTTATTAGAGAAATTCAGCTTATTGACGTGTTTCACAATAAAAGCCACCAAAGCTGCCCTTGACCCCAACTCTTAGATGCCAACAAATGAATTTTTAAAAATTCGACCCAGAGAATAAACACCCCTCAGTTCCCAGAGCAACTCCTCCTGTTACCCAATGGTTCTGGCAAAGTTTAAGCGTGCTGCTCTTGCTCCTGTGAACTTTGGGTTTCATTCTCAGTATTAATTTAACCAAAATTCACTTCAGATACCATTCTGGTATTTTTTCAGGATTTCTGCTCTTTTCACAACACCAAGAAAGGCATTGGGAAGCCACCACGCCTTCAGCCCATATATAGTTTCATTTATTACAAACACCTAAATTAAGGCTGAGGCTTTTTTCACCATAATAATTAGTGCAAACAACCACATGGCTTTGGAGGAAACTCTTTTTTTAAACAATGCTTCAGATTTTTCCAGGATGGCTGTGCCTACTCAAACCCACAGCTGAGCTGTCTGGGCTCCTCCTGGACTCAGGAGTTTTTAGGAGATACCAGGGACCAATATCAGAAATTTGACAACACAGTCCAGTGTTCCCCTTGCTCATTCCTTGATCTCCACTGCCCTGGCTGCATCCCCTCTCTGATCCTTGCAGGATACACATTTCCTGCTGTTGGGTTATTTTAATCTCAAGCCCATTCTCACCCACCTTTACCTGTTTGCCAAAAGGCACCTGAGACCAACCAACGTCCATAAAAATATCAGTCATGGCAAGGGTTTAAAATCCACAATGGTTTGATTGTTCCCTGAGACTGAATTACAGGAACACAAGAGAGAACAAACTCAACTTTCTCACCACCTTGCTCAGAACCTGTTCTTGGCACCATTAACAGGGTGATGCAAGAGAGCTTTTCCAAAGCCAAGTATTTTATCGATTATTGGAGGTGACAGACAGAGCTTTCCCTGCAGGTTCAGAAGCCTTCAAGCCTTCAACTGTAAAACAGTGTCTATACATGTTACACGGAGTGTGGGTAACACAATATCTGCTTATCTCCCGAAGGGAAGTACCTGGAGGGAATCTACAGCAAACATGGAAGGGACTTTTTACAAGAGCATGGAGGTTTAGATTAGATTTTAGGGGGAAATTCTGCCCTGGGAGGGTGGGGAGACCCTGGCACAGGGTGCCCAGAGAAGCTGTACCTGCCCCATCCCTGGAAGTGCCCAAGGACAGGGCTTGGAGCACCCTGGGATAGTGGAAGGGGTCCCTGCCCACGGCCTGAGATTATCTTGAAGGTCCATTCCAACCCAAATCATTCTACGATTCTGTGATCTCAAAGGCTCCAGGACTGTCATTAATATTTAAAGAGCACAAAATAAATGCAGTGGCAATTTGCGTAACAGCAAACAGTTAATATACAAAACAATATCAAAAAGTAACAGAAAGTCTGGAAAAACATAAACAGGGATGATACAATAAAATCCCCGTAAAGCTTTGACACAATCTAGATTAACATCACGAGGTGCTAACTGCACATTATCAGGTGTTTTGCTCACGAAAGCACGAGATGCAAACAGCCGCTGACCCGCCTAACGCAGCATTTAAACCTCTGCTTTTAATTTTGGCGCGAGAGCAGCGACTTTACACGGCTCCAGAAAGATCGGCATTTCTGCCCTGACGTCCGGACATGTGACAATAAATAAATAATAAAAAACCCACCCCGCTGCGGCGCTTGTGCCGGGATCCCAACGCCGAAGTTCCGCGGGGAAGAGCTCCGGCTCTGCCCGCAGCCCCAGCCCGCTCCGGGCGCGGGTGAAGCGGAGCAGCGCGGGCGGCTCGGGCTGTGCCCGGCCCCAGCAGCGGCCTCGCCGCGCTCCCGCCGCCGCCTCAGCGCGGACCCGCCCGGCCCCGCGGCGCCTCCCGCGCCCTCCCTCCCTCAGGCCCCGCGGCCTCCCCCGCTCCCTCCCCAGCCCGGCCGCCGCTCTCACCCCCTCCTCCAGCTCCTCGTCTGAGCCCGCGTCCTCGGGCTGGTCCAGGTCGATGTCGAACACTCCCGCCATGGCGCCGCCGCCCCTCGCTGGCTCCGCCGGGTGCCCGGGGCCTGCGCCGCCTCATGGGCCCGCGCCCCGCAGCGCCGCCGCGGCCGCCATCACCGGCTGCGCGGCCGCAGCGCGCCTGCGCCTTCGCCCCGCCCGCGCCCGCCGCGCACGCGCAGCGCGCGTCCCGGCCCCGCCGAGCCTGCGCAGTGAACGCCCCGCGGGCCCGCCCCCCGGTACCGGCGCGGCGCATGCGCAGAGGCCGCGGTGAAGCCACGCGGGCGGGAGCGCGCGGGCCGCTGCCCGGAGCGTGCTGTGCGCGTGCGCGAGGCGCGCGGTTCGAAGGCGCGGCCGGAGCCGGTGTGGGGAAGGCGGGGATGAGGTGAGCCCTGAGGGGCTGCCGGGTCGGGCCGGGACCGGGACCGGGACCGGGACCGGGACCGAGATCGAGATCGAGATCGAGATCGAGATCGAGATCGAGATCGAGATCGGGATCGAGATCGAGATCCCCGGACGGGCTGTTGAGGAGAAAGGCGCGGGGACGCGGCTCGGCACTGAGGGGCGTGAGGGCAGGCGGCGCTGGGAACATGGCGGTGTTCCCTGAGGGGGCTCTGTGGCCGCGGGGATCCGAGTGGGGCTCCCCGCGGAGAGAATCGGACACGAGAGGATCGGTATCGTACGCTTTGGACATGAGTCTTTCCTGGCAATAATTCACACATTTATTTATTTCCTGCGTGAGGAGTTTCTCGGTGTCCTGGTGACACCCGGCTTGGGCTGGCGGCAGCGCTGGCATTGGGCCCGGCAGTGGCAGTGAGCTCGTACCTGCCTGCAGAACGGGCAGCGATCCAAGCCGGGCTGGTACAGGAGTCCTGCGGCACGGCTGGGATGCGATGGGAGTGAGGAACAGCAGCCCAGAATAACCAAGAGAGTTAAAAAAAAAAAAAATTGACCTTGTTTCTGTGAAAGAATAGAAAAGTGAGAAAGCAGAGCTGCTATCAAATGCTGAGCGGGGAAAAATACCAAAACGTACCAGGACAGAGTCAAACACTTTGCTTTGCAGAAACAAGGGGAATTCTCCAGGGCATCCTGTTGTCACCTCAGCAGGCTCTGGCATCAGGCCTGGTACACTTCACAACTGAAAAATAGCTCCATTTTTGAACTGGCTTAAGATTTCCAGTGTTGCATCCTAGTCCTGTAACTCTTGTTTCCATAGTGTTTTACCAAGCAAAAGTGAGAAAACAAATAATTTTCTTTTTCAGGCTTAAATACCAAGGGAACAAGGATGTCAATTGTCACAGTGCAGCTTGGGCAGTGTGGGAACCAGATTGGGCACGAGGTGTTCAGTGCTCTCTGCAGTGACATCCTTGGCACCCATGGGCTGTGTTCCAAGAAGGAGAATGAATCCTACCAAGATTCCTGCAAGGAAAGGTTCTTCTGCCAGGAGGAATCTGGAGGTACAGCCTTAGAAGGCTCTTTTCCCCTCTCAGGGTCTGATTTCAGTACACAGAAACATCAAAGGGTTTATTTCATGGAAGATCTGTGCTCGCTGGAGTTCAGATTTGGTTTTGGCACAATAAATGGCTCAGCAGAAATCAGGGCACAGCCAGATCCTCTCTGTATTGTCCCATTAAGAGTTTGGCTGAAGTGGGTGGGAGGAATAACCTTGGGATGTTGTATCCACCCAAGTCCATCCATCTCACCCAAATAATTAGCAGATTCCCCCCAGTTTTGTTTTCCTTCCTGTGCAGTGCCTGTTGCCCGGGCTGTGCTTGTTGACATGGAGCCCAAAGTGATCAGCCAGACCTTATCCATGGCTGCCAGGTCTGGCCACTGGAGATACAACAGCCACTCACACTTCTGCCAGAAGCAAGGATCTGGGAACAACTGGGCCAATGGGTAGGAACAGCTGCCTCGAGCTTCCCTGAGGGAATTCTGGAGGCTGAGGAGCTGCTCAGACTCCCTAGGAGTGGTAATAAAGTAAAATTTGCTTTATGAATAACTTCACTTTTCTGCTTTTATTTTGATTCACCCTGCCCTGTCTTGCTGTTTTTGTGTTACCCCACAGTTACTCTGTTCATGGGCCCAGGCACAAAGAAGCAATCATGAATCTGGTGCAGAAAGAAGCAGAGAAATGTGACAGGCTCGGGGGATTCTTCACAATCATGAGCATGGCTGGGGGCACGGGATCAGGCCTGGGAGCATTTGTGACCCAGTGTTTGAGAGATGCTTTTCCAGCCTCGTTCATACTGAACCACGTGGTCTGGCCCTATGGCACTGGGGAGGTGAATGTCATGTTGCCTGTTAATATATAGTGATAGTTTATAAAGAATTTATGAGCTTAGCATCACTGGTTACTTTTAAACAAAATATCTACAACAGAAATAAATTAGAAAATGGGTACATTTTACACTGAATAAGTTCAAGTGACTCAGTACCACTAAAGAATTTTCACCAAAAAATCTTCTTGATAATTTAAGTGCTGAAGTGATGCAGATTCACAAGAAGTTCTGTTATCTAACTAGAAATCTCCTGATATGCTCTTACCTCAGCATTATAATCAGTTCCCAGGCAGGTCTGGTTCCAGCATGTTTGTATGGGCAGAGATGGATAACCTGATTTTCACAGGTCTTGCCCTCTTTGCATGAAAAGGCTCTGAGCTCCTGACCTCATTCTGCACTCTGGCAAAGCAAATGAATCACTTCCTAAATCATAACTGAGGAAACAGCAGGAGCCAGAGGATTATAAACTAAAAAGGGATTAAGTTGTTTGACTCTTCTTTGTGTGTGGTTTTTTTGTTTGCTTCCAGGTCATTGTTCAAAACTACAACTCTGTTTTGACTCTGTCACATCTGTACCACTCATCAGATGCCCTTCTTGTCCATGAAAATGATGTCATCCACAAGATCTGTGCCCAGCTGATGAATATCAAACAGATTTCCTTCAGGGATGTCAATCAAGTCATTGCTCACCAGCTGGGCAGCGTTTTCCAGCCCACTCACACAGCAGGAGAGGGCTCAGGCTACAGCAGAAACCCATTAGGTACCAAACCCAACAGCCACACCTTGCTGGAGTCCCTTCAGCTGGGAACTGAAGTTCTTCAGTCTCCTTGCTCAAGTATTTGGATACATCCCAAGTTTTAAGACAGGAAAGGACCAGTGTAGAAATTCAATCCCAAGTCAAAAATAGATCCCCTGACCTCTGGTTTCATTCTTTACCAAAAGAGCTCTGTTTCTCCTTTTTCAAGTGATCACAGACACCCTTGTACCTGTTTACATTTCTGAGGAAATTTGCAAAGGGCTGTGATTTTGGACTGATTTTCACATTTCACTTTGGGTTAGAAGTTTGTATAAAACTGAGAGTTTTGAGTTTTGCTCAGGCAGAAGAGGTGAGCAGACAAGACTGACATTTGTACCTTGAAAGAATTAGAGAAAGTTGCCCACATTGCTTGTAAAATTAAACTTCCACATCTGTCTGGAGTGCAGAGAAAGTCCTTAAGATTTTCATCCAAACTGTAAAATAAAAGCTACTAACACCCTGTCTAGAACTCTAATACACAGCACGTGTGCATGGCTTTGAAATTGCTAAATCTCTGAACATTGCCCACTCTTCTCCCATTTTAGCTGCCCTGTGCAGTGTCCTTGTCAAACATGAGCAGCTGTTGGTTTCTCCTTTCAGGAGATTTGATGGAGACTCTGGTCCCACACCCCGAGTTCAGGATGCTGGGCCTGCGGAACATCCCCCAGATGCCTGAGAACTCCCTGCCCTACAGCACCTTCAGCTGGCCTGGCCTCATCAAACACCTCAGGCAGATGCTCATTGCCAATGCTCACATGGAGGAAGGTAAATAAACACCACTCACTCACCTTCAGCCTCAGTCACTCTTCAAACACTCATTTGTGCAGATGGACTCAAGCTGCATGTTTTGTGGAGCTCACAGTTCAGAAAGGAGCTGCTGCCCTCAGCAGGAATTTGCCCCCACAGGACCAGCTGCTCCTTTCACCATTCCCTCAGCTGCCACAGCAGCTCCCAGATTGCTCCAGCTCTGCTTCCAGACATCTCAGTTAATTATAACTATTGAAAACACACAAACCAAACTGACAGTCTGTGGCTGTGCACTTAATTTACATAACTCATTTGCAACATTCCTTGGATGGTGAGCTCTGCTTTTTCTTTTTACACCTTCTACCCATAAAAATCAGGCTCAGCTCTCCCATGTAATTTACTTGGAGAATTCAGTTACAGCTCCCAGTTATGCAAGGAATGGGCTGGAGGCTTGCTAAGTATAGAAGCAGGTATCCATTTTCTCTGGCAGAGTGACTGCCAGGCAAATACTGCAGGATTAGCAGTGGTTTTCTCTGGGAATTGTGTGATTGCTGCTTCACTCGTGTGCAGCAGCTACAGCCTCCAGCGTGCTCTCATTTGGGGCACAGTGATAGTTCCCATCTGCACCTTCACAAAACATTAACTTGCTTTTCTGTCTCTTTTTCCCAAATCCCAAAGGTATTGATTGGCAAGTACGACCACCACACCCAGGCTCCTCCATCCCCTCCACAGGCAAACCCCTGCACTTCAACACTTCCATTGCCAACCTGGTTATCCTGAGAGGAAAAGATGTGCACAGTGTAGACTTGGGTAAGAGAGAGGAACCCAGCACCTCAGGGAGTCTGGGTTCACATCTCACTGCTCTCTTTGCAACCAGGTCTGATGCAAGTGGAAACATCCCAAGACCACACATTTGACTCCTAAGGTTGATATTCCCTCTAGAAACATTTTGCTGTCCTAGGCCAATTTGTCTAATTGCTTAGGGCTGTTGTATTTCACTTCTGAGTTTCCTGAAGCACTTCAGGGAAGGAGGAAGAGACTCAAGTTTGTGTATCTGAAATTCTTGGCTATGATACCTGAAAATACCTGCAGCTGTTTCTGGAGTGATGAGCATTGCTGGCAGCTGAAGTATCCACACCAGTGTGCTTCTAGATAATCTAAGGGATCTGTTTAAAAGTTGTATTTTCAACAGGCTGCCCACTCTGCAGATATTTTCCCAGGCCTGAACTGATCTGATAGCATTGATTAGGCCACACAGGGATCAAGTCTGGCTTTTGTCCAAAGGGCTGTCCTGTTTCTGCTGCAGGAAGTTTCCAAGATCCCTCGTTATACACATCGTGGCTGAACCCTCAGGATG